CGCTTGAATTGTTGCCGTTTTTCCGCGATGCCGATTGGTTCTTTTATTACGCTCAATTCATGTTGTGAGCAGCTGTCATTTGCGATTATTACAAATTTTGACAGCTCGTGTGACAGTGAGAAATGTTGTCTAGTATTTATAAAATACTCGTTTTTAAAAACATTCTTTCTCTTCGTATCTATATGATCGATAATTGGATTCTTAACGAGATGGTATCAATTTCAATCTCTAAAAGATTCTCGAGCGGAGAGACGGGAAAATTCAAGCCTGATTCAGCCCACGTGGCTCCGTGCAGCCCTTCTCGTTATCGCATGACGTGCGCTGTCTCGTCAGGGGCGTTCAGCCCTTCTGACACGCGAGGACGTGCACAACGTTAACTCGAAATATTACGACGACGGTTAAGCTCATTACGGACGGGTGGTTATCGTAAGGCACACGAGCTGTCGTCGACCGCCCGACAAGTAGCAAGATCCATCGATGGATTTCGGACAAAAAAAGGCGACGCGCTCGAAAACCCGTTTCTTCCTCAAATAATCATGAATCCTAGAGAGAGATATTCCCAGCATGTCGAGAAACTTAATGAGGCCGGCATAACGCGCGGTCATTAAGTATTATAATCTGGTGTCAAATGACGCGAGGTAGATTCTTCCAGATTAAACGAAATACGGTTCTACGCTTGACAAATGATTATAAATTCTCAAAAAACATACATCAGTGGCCAATATAAATCGAGAATTATTGCCGAGTGTGATGTCTTCTTCTTCCATTATTATTCATGTATGGGGAAGATACTTTTTTTCATCATTGGAAAAAAGAGACGGCGTCTTCTTTCCTACGCTGCTAGCATTCCTGAAGACACCGTCGTGTACCATCTCCGATACAATTTTGCCCCGCGCGGCAAATAGAAACATCGGGTATCGGATATCGGCATAGGCGAATTTTGCGAGATCCCCTGCGAGGAGTCGATCTTCGCGTCGTAAATCTCGCGGCTGGAAATTGCTTCTCCCGGCAGCGTTTCGATCCCGCGGTGGAGAACGATTTGTCCTTTTCTGGAAGGAAGATCCCCACCTCGAAGCCGTTTTCCCGGCCCGAATAATCTGGAAATAAATTCTCACCCGACACCTTTTCCCTCCCTCGAGTTTCTTATTTCACCGACGATCTTTTTTCCCCTCGCACGCATGGATATACGCGTATATATTCGCACGTATATGCGTATGAGAAGAAAGAGAAAGAGAGAGAGCAATCTCGGTTAAGCGTCGAGGAACCGTGGAAATGCTTCTTAAACGCTCTTCCTGCCAATCTTTCGCCCCGAAATACGGTTATATCGGCTTTGGGGTGCGCGGAATAAACGGTTACATAAAGTTTTCGATTGGCGCGTGGCGTAACAACCCCTGTCTGTTCATGTCCGAGGGATCGCCGCCCATCCTCCCCTGCTCAGGGATACACATATGTGCACTTGTTCGCCCGTAACGGACAAACTACCCTCGACCGGACGCTGTATTATATCGCGGACGATATCTGTACCATTGTATTTAAAGCGGCAACCATTTCGCGAGTCGGGCATGCTCGAGTTAATGAACTTCCTACGACAGGATAATAACGGGGGCACTCGCTATTAAATTTGCTTCTGTATATACGCCTCTACTTATTTGCTCTCTATCGCGAAAAGATATTCGTGCCTTTAGAATTCTATTACGATATACAGGAATATATATGAGAAAAACAAGTGGACTGGTATAAATTTATATCTCGTACATTTAATACTCGTATGATTTAACAATAATGAAAACAATGTACAAGAGAGATAAAAAACAAATTTAAATCAATATTAATATTTAATAATAGAGTAGATTTTCGAAACTTTAATAATAACATTTTTTCTCATAACTTTATTACGAACGCAATTAGCGTCGGTTCTCGCAAGTTGTCGGCTTAGAAGAAGAAGAACGGAGGAAAGTTCGATCGCGTCTGGATGCGGTACGTGTCCGTCGTGAGCGGTCCATAACGTGTCGGATGCACGTAGCTCGACGGAGGAGAGAGCCCCTACGTGCCTGCCGATGCAACCTCACCCCAAGGGCGAGGGTTAACCCCCGGCACGAGAGCTCAATATATATTAAGATCCGCGAACCCCTCGGACTAAAAGTTCGTAACGCCCCCTCCTTCGTCCAAGTCTTCCTGCAGACTCTCGCTAACCTCCCTATTCGGAGCTACGCCGTCGGAATTGCGATTATGGTGGCGATATTACTGGCGCAGGGGCAGTTTCCCATCCGCAAGGGTGGCGGCATCCTACGTCTAAGTCTCTCGTTCCTCCTCCTCTCTTCATTCCGAAGCGCGCGCGCGCGAGCTTCGAGCTTATTGGCTTTACTTCCGAGCCATCGACTCGTATCTATTTACTGCCACAGTTTGATCCGCGGGAAAAGTCATGGGCGGCGGATGATACTTTTTTTCTCAGAGAGCGCACCGCAGGGTGGCTCGCAGGTAGCTTTGACCACGCCGACCGCATGGTCCCCAAAGTGTACTACTTCTTGTCGGTTGGCCTTTCTCGAATGAATTGTGAATGTCTAACCGTGAAAAAACAAGACAAATAATTTCTAGTTTGGAATAATATGAATCGGTCGGTCGGGTCTTGTATTTCCTGTGATTTTATAACAAAAGGATTACGGTTTATCGAGGGATGAAAAGGCAAATAAATATTTTTATCTCAATCCGAGGAAAGCAACAAACGAAATGTGACGCTTTAATTCGGTTTGTGATTTATCATCACCGACGGTAGCATCGCTGTATCTCGAAAATGAAGATCGAGGAAGACCAACGATTTGCACGTGCTGTTGCTTCGCTCCGTGCTTTCGGCGTGGAAAATAGCAAAGCACGTCTACCTGCTGCGAGACTGCGAAGCGAGGGCGTGCGATCGATACTCGACCACAAAGTGCTAACCGCATAGTTTTCGAGACATCGATCGATGCGCAATCTCTCAGTTATACTTAATGCAAACGGGCAACTGTACGCGTTCGAGAGAAAAGATCATTGTCCTCTTCTATTAATACCAATGACATTTCCCTCATAACGTTACGTAATAATTTTCTTAATTTAGCGTAAAGAAAATTGATAACAATTTATCAAAATATGAGACATTTTTAAAAATCATCAACATAAAGTGCGCCAACAAATATTTGTTCCGTAACGTTCTTTAGACTTTTTTCTAAATTATATAATTTAATTTATGAATATAGATAATAAGAGAATATTAATTTAACTTGGCAATCTTTAAATCGAAGCCAAAAAGAGAAAATATCTCGTCCCATTTGGATGCATCTGTGCGTGCACTGACGAAAATGACGTAAGATTGCAATGAGATACGGCAGAGGTTAATCGTCTTTTTTTGCTTCATGCGATGAGTAATTTCATGGGACAGACACACCGAGCGGAAAATCCGCCTCGCCGAAAAATCGACCGCGACGTTAAAAAGAGGACGCGATTTCTTCGCGACGCGATCCAATTAAATGCCGCGCGTCGTTAACGTCGCGCGGCCTCTCTTGCACCTTTTTCTCGCGGCTTGCAACGGGATAAAAGCAGCAGCAGGCCATAGACATAGACTCATGGAGCGTTGGGCGAAAAGGAAGCTGAACTTCACCGTTTTAATGAAATTTCGTAGACGATAAAGAACCTCGGTAGAGACGTTCAAATAAACGCGCGCGATGGTGTGTGTGTATATCTGAAAGCAGATTTTTCTCGTTTTTTCAATAATCCTTGGACGAAACGAAATGAATATCGATTGACGGAGGGAGAAGTTCAGGAACAATAAGGGAAAATAATTGTAGAATAAAAAAGGGGATATAAAGTGCGAATCTGAATTTTTATTTTCAATTTTCGCGTAAAACGCGATGACAGCTTCATTGATTTAATTATATCTGTAATCGAGGATATATTTTAGGATATCGTTCAAGGAATATGCGCGAGGTGATCAATTTAAAAGCGACGTAAATTTGGTTTCGCAAACCTCGCTAAAAACTATTAATTGCGATCGGAGGCGTGCGAAGGATACCGGATCGTAATTCGATGCGCGGACGACGGCGAATTGCGAAACTGTTGGTTCTCCGTGATTCCCCGGCTGCTCGGGTACTTTCGAGCGTGCGGACCGCTGAAAAAGCTTTTTTTCGCCGGCAGCGCTTTAATGAAATTTTTTCGACCTCGTCATCGTCCTCGTAATAATCTCCCTTTTGCAACCGGGTAGCCGGCGCGGCTTGAATTTATTGCAGCCCGCCTGCCGGAAACACGTCCGCGAGGAAATCTTCTGGATAAGAGGCTCACGGCTCTCTACCTCGGTCTACCGTTTTTTATCATTCCTTACCTGCCGAGTCTTTCCTGGTCCGAGTATGAAATACGCGAGAGCGGAGAAGCGCGTAAAAAAAAAAGAAGGAAAGAGCGACGAGAAGAGGAGAGGAGGACAACTGGAGAAAGAGAAGAGAATGAAGGAAAGGGAGGGGAAAGGGAACGACGAAGTTCCGGTGACGACGAGGACGACGACGACGACGATGGATCCTTCTTGCCCCGGTCGGAACTTTTTGCGGTCGCTCTCGGGACGAGCCCAAGAGCCGAGGGGAGCAATAAAACTAATGGTAACGCGCGCCGGTAATTCCTTGCGGTCTGTTTGTCGCAAGTCGACGACCTGGTCTCTCCGCCTCGTCATTTACCGAGGGAGGATTCTACGGCCAATGTCGACGACAATGACGACGGTGACGGGGGATGATGTTTTCTTCCTTTCGCCACGTAACGTGGCGTAACTCTTAGAATTGGGTTAGAAGAGACTCGCGGATTTTAACTATAGGGAATTGTACCTTCGAATACAACGAATACGATCACTTTCTTCGAGACTGTCGAAATAGGATCCTTTTCGATCGCTTCGTTTACACCGGTCTTATTAATGTCAGTTAAGAATTAAAAAAAGATGTCTCTGAAACGTAATCTGTCTTCATTCTGTTTCTTTACAATTGTTCTTACAGTGGGTAGAGGAGTCTTTCACGAACTTCGACAAGGGTATCAATTGGCGGAGTTACGTTGTATGCGACGTAGCGTACCACAATGTGAACAATTGGCTGTGGACGCCATTCGTGGAGAGGGGTCCGGCGAACCGCATGTACATAGAAATAAAATTCACGACCCGCGACTGCTCGCTATTCCCCGGGAATGCTCTCAGCTGTAAAGAGACCTTCAGTCTGCTCTATTACGAATTCGACGCTGCTACTAAGGAACCGCCTCCGTGGGAGCCAGACAGTTACAGACTTATCGGTAAGAGCGCAATGAGGTGTAACTATTGACAATTTTATCTCAGAAATGAAACGATGATATTCTAAAATATTCTAAAAATATCAAATTTAAAAGCTTGCGTAAGCAAAAGTTTGCTTAATAAAAAAATAATTGCTGAGAATTTGAGAGATGAAAAAAATTAGAATATCGTTTAATTCCAAAGTTGCATTTTTTTAAATAAAATATCTACTCCTCATGTACTGACATATTTGACATATTTGCAGGTCGCATAGCCGCGGGTGAGGGTAGATTCAATACAAACGCCGAGGTGGTAATAAATACAGAGGTAAAGTCAATTCCGGTGACGAAGAAAGGCGTCTATTTCGCTTTCCGTGATCAGGGCGCTTGCATATCAATCCTAGCCATCAAGGTGTACTACATCAATTGTCCCGAGATCTCGGTGAACTTTGCCCGTTTCCCGTCCACGCCGACCGGTCGCGAAGTCGCGCTCATTGAACAAACGGTCGGTATTTGCGTTGAGAATGCCATCAAAATTGAGAAGCCGACTTTCCTCTGCAAAGGAGACGGCAAATGGTATCTACCGACAGGTGGATGTCATTGCAAACCTGGTTTTCAAGCTGACGTGGAGAAGCAGCAGTGCAAAGTGTGCCCAATAGGCAAGTTCAAGCACGAGGCGGGCTCCCACACCTGCGAACCATGTCCGGAGCACAGCAAAGCCTCCGATTACGGCTTGGCGGAATGTCGTTGCGATCAGGGTTATTATCGAGCGGAAAAAGATCCTAAGACTATGCCTTGTACGCGTAAGTATCAATCGAATTTTATATAGAATGGTTTCTTTGCCGAGATTTAAATAGATAAAATTGTTCAAATATAATCTTAAAATCTAAAAATTATTTAAAAAATTTGAAAAAATTCTCCGGAATATTGTCGTTAATATGTTTGAATTCTGTATTTTATAATTGCATCATTAAATAGTTTGCATTATTTAATACTCGTGACTTATTTATTACTTTAATTTAAAAGTTGTGCGTAAATATGCGATATGGAGAGAATTGAGGGAGGAGGAGAATGTTGAAAAATATACTTCTTGTAGAACCACCTTCGGCACCGCAAAACTTGACCGTCAACTTTGTCGATCAGTCCACGGTGATCCTTTCCTGGAACGCGCCGCATATGCAAGGTGGCAGGTCCGATACGACATATAAAGTGGTCTGTGATGCTTGCAGCACGGATGTCAAATACATTCCCAATACTGTGAGTTTCTTTCAAAACCGTATATGTATGTATGCTTATATATCCGAGGCAGATTGCATAATGGAAAATTATTCTTAATAAATTATTCCTTGATCAAAAACTTGACGCGGAATCGCTTTAATTTTACAATAGGAAACTTTCAACGACACGAAGATCACGATAACCGGTTTGAACGCGGTGACTACTTATCGCTTCCAAGTATTCGCCCAGAATGGCGTATCGTTGTTGACCCAAAAGAAGGAATACGTTGACATTACTGTTACAACGGAAGCCAGTGTGCCGAGTCTAGTGAGTAACGTTAGAATCACGAGTGTCAAGAGCTCGGAGCTCAGCATCAGCTGGGACGCGCCGGTCATCGAAGTCGGCGGGGACAGCGATCTCGTCGAACGATACGAAGGTAAAGCTAAAGTCTCACTGTGAAAAGTTCTGCCAGCAATGCGCGGCGATATCAATTCTAAATTGTCAGTCGATCGCGCGGCAGCGGGATTAATAATCGTCTCGATATCTGATACTAGTGAGGTGTTACCCGCGCTATGACGACGCCACTAATGCAACCGTCATTCAAACGTCGGAGCTGTCCGCCACGTTCAAAGGCCTAAAGCCTTCCACGGATTACGCGATACAGGTTCGCGCCAAGACCACCCGTGGCTGGGGCGAGTATACGCCGGTGGTATTTAAGAAGACACCCCACGCTATGGGTTTAGGTAAGCGCGCGTGAACGACATTCAGAGCCGCGTTTCGCAATCTCCTTCGTATTCTCCTTATATTCTATATCTGTATGTTCTCTATATCTGTGCATAGACTACGTTGGCGAGGACGACAACATGCAAGTTAGGATAATCGCAGGGGCAGTCGTCGCTGTCGTCGTACTTCTTGTGATTATTATTATTATGACTGTTTTGATCCTTAGAAGGTAATTGAATCATTTTCAATATCGGAAAGAAATTCTTCCAAGATATTTTGCGTTTTATAATATAATTAAGAAAAAAATACTTGCGAATTATCGAACCATTTATCGTATTAATGCGCGAAAAGATACTTTTTTTTTCAATTACTTTGCTCAATTTTATTGCAGCAGATTCATGCGATTCATGCGATTTCGTTGCAGCAGGGCCTCGGACGAGTGCAACAAGAAGCAGCCCAGCGATTGCGATACTCTGGAGTACCGAAACGGCGAAGGTACGTTCGCATTTTGTTCAAAGTTTCTCTTCCTCTTTAAAGATTTATTATCGCTGCTACCCCCTGTCATTTTTATAGTTGTTTCATTACGCCCTCGTGTCTTGTGACTAATATATATATATTGGAATCACTGCCCCCCCTCTCTTAGATCCAGCAAGTGTCGAAGCTATACCCCGTATGCAAACAGACTGACAATAATACAATTAAACATCCCTCAGTAGAGATTTTTTTACGAATGAGAGTGAGAGAAAGAGAGATAGCTAAACGTTAACACTGTAGAAAAAAAATGTACAAAGAGAAAGCAGTCGGGGGCTCTGAAATACGTCCATCTGACATGGGACATAAAGAGAAACGATCGCTTTCGTACCAAAATTTCCACTGATCTGGCCCGCGGCCCAAGTGCGATTATTCTAACCAAATTCTTTCGATTCTTTCTTTTCATGTGCGATTCCCTAATCTATCGAACCTGCCTCCATGAAAAATCCATGAAAAAACCCAATGAAACAATGTACACAATCGCCTGCTACTACAGGACTAGTTGTGACCTACAGTAAGTCTTCTCCAAACACCTCAAGTTTTTTTGTTTCTAGGAACTCAATTTTGTGTAGATTATTTTTGCAACCCCTACATGCATTACACTTTCAGACTTTTACGCTTTTGCACATACACACACGCATATACATATGCACGCACAGATCCACGTACAAACGTGCACACGCGCGCACACATAACAATTTTGCACGACACTAATTCTCTTAAATACACATTGTGCGTGCTCAGCGTGCATTGTGCTTGCGTATGTTGTATCGCATTCTTTGTCAATATTGCATGAGTATTGTTTATTAGTAAATGTTATATCGTATGCCTTTTATATCTGGATATATTTGATTCATAAAACAAGAACATACCCGACGAACGTAAGAGACGAGAAAAAATCAAACTGAAAATGCATTGTGTGAAAGGATTTTTTTAAATTAGAACGTCGAATTGTCTAATACCGGAAATATTGTTTTCACATTTGAATTCAATTACACATTTGATAACTTCGTATAAATTCCATTTTTCGTTTTACATCATTAAAAAAAAAATAAAACAAAGAAGTATTCATGATTGAACACCCGCCGCTTTTTTTGTTTTTCTGTTTGTCAATTAGTGTGTTGGTTGTTGTGTTGTTCACAGTGCACTGCAAAATGGACAGTTCACCGATTGTGACAACCCATACCAACAACAAGAGCAAGTCCTCGCGTAAGTCCTTTGTTTCCCAAAGCGATTTCCAAGCCAAAACTCTTGTGCGACCGCAAAACTCGCGTAGACACATTCGTATGACATATTAAAGACATAACCGAACGCACCGACATTCGCATACACTCACTTCGAGTTCTCCACGTTCATTATAGTTTCGCTTTATAGTTACGCTACACTCTATTCTATTCTTTCTTCACTGTCCTGGATATGCGATATGGATGAAAAGTACGGAAGTAATAAAAGCATGCCGCGACCCCGTCGTATTTCGCATGCAATTGCAGCATCATTGTGTTCTTGCATCCAATTTTTGTCTTTTTTTACTTTTACTTCTCTTTAGATGATCGTTCCTTCTTGCATCGATATATTTGGATATTTTAAGACTATTTCAAGTAGAGAACTAAATTGATTTGAATAAAAGAAGATTGAAGAAATTAGATTAAAATTAAGAAAATGCTATTTTTAAATCGTCTCAATAGTCCAGAACGAACAATGTTAATTGCTGGACTTTGCGGATGTATAATAATAGTTTGGAAATAATTCAGCATACAGGCATGCGAAAATTGTGCATTTTTGGCATGTGGATTGGCTACGCGCGAGATTTTTTTTTTTAGCGTACATAGACACCGCCGCTCGACATTTAAACATACCAGATTTAAAAAATAGATAAACACATACAAAAGTAAAAGGATGACTCTTATTGATCGAATAAAGTAGGATTGAAAGAGGAGGATATATCTTAGAATCCACCTGCGTTTGGCTTTCTTGATTGTGTCTTGTTTTATTTTTTTTGGAAATTTTAAACTCGTTGACGAGGGAGAATGTGTGAGTGTTACTTTTTTGACACGGTATTTGACACGGTGGCCGAGCGCGATAGAGCGAATGTTGAGACGCGCAGTCTAAAGTTCTGTCAAAATTTCGCACCACCGGCCCTCGTGTTAATATAATGAACTCTGTTTTCGTGACGTTGCAGTGACCACGCCGCTATTCACACCTGCAGTGGGGGTCGCCGCGGCGGGCGCAGGCGGCGCAGGCGGTGCAGGTGCGAGGAGTTACGTGGATCCTCACACCTACGAGGATCCGAATCAGGCTGTACGGGAATTCGCCCGAGAGATCGACGCCGGATACATCACGATAGAAGCAATCATAGGTATGCGACTTTGTATATTATTACACGAGCGGATTATCAACACGACAACTGATGCGTTCTTCGATAGCGTCTGTAAGATAGTTTTAGAACTTGCTCTTGACAATTTGTTTTTACGGTTACAGGTGGCGGAGAATTCGGCGATGTCTGCCGAGGGAAGTTGAAATTGCCTCCTGATGGACGGACGGAAATAGACGTGGCTATAAAAACGCTGAAGCCGGGCTCTGCGGATAAGGCGCGTAACGATTTCCTGACGGAGGCGTCGATAATGGGCCAGTTTGAGCATCCCAACGTGATATTCTTGCAAGGCGTGGTGACGAAGAGCAATCCGGTGATGATCATCACGGAGTTTATGGAGAATGGCAGCCTGGACACTTTCTTGCGCGCTAACGACGGCAAGTTCCAAGTGCTTCAATTGGTGGGGATGCTACGTGGCATTGCCAGCGGTATGCAGTATCTTGCGGAGATGAATTATGTGCATCGTGATCTCGCCGCGAGAAACGTGTTAGTCAACGCCGCTTTGGTTTGCAAGATTGCCGATTTTGGACTCAGTAGAGAGATCGAGAGCGCTACGGAAGGAGCTTACACGACCAGGGTAAGCGATAAATTCGAAAAATTTTTAAATAAAATAAAATTTTTAAATAACATAAATATAAATACGACTACAATTTCTTGATTAATATCTATCTTCAACCTATCTTATGTTTAGGGCGGTAAAATCCCGGTACGGTGGACGGCACCGGAGGCGATAGCCTTCCGTAAGTTCACCAGCGCCTCCGACGTCTGGAGTATGGGCATCGTGTGCTGGGAGGTAATGTCATATGGCGAGAGGCCATACTGGAACTGGTCGAATCAAGATGTGATAAAGTCGATCGAGAAAGGCTATAGGCTTCCAGCGCCGATGGACTGTCCGGAGGCTATTTACCAGCTGATGCTCGATTGCTGGCAGAAGGAGCGCACTCATCGGCCGACCTTCGCCAATCTCACGCAGACTTTGGACAAGCTTATACGAAGTCCGGACACGCTAAGAAAAATTGCTCAGAACAGGTAAGGAGTGCCCACTTGTTATTGTTTGATCCACGAGTAGCGATCGCCAAATGCTGATACATGATAAAATTACGAAACAATAGTCTTAGGATATATTAATCATAAAAATAATGTTAGGAAATTTATACCGCGAATCAATTGTCTAGAGGACAATGCGATCATCATCACTTAACGTAAATTAAATTTATACGACGGAATGCATAAGATATAATCGGCACACAACGAATGAAATTTGTTCAAGTGCTTCGAGCGCACGTTCGCAAATAGTTTTCATTGGCATCATCATCAATTTTCCTCTCTTTTTTTAAATCTTGTTAAGTCGTTTGTTCATTAATATCTTGATAAGAATTAGGCCGCATGCTATGGAGTCATATGTATATCGTGTCCATAAATTAATTTTTCTCGACAGCTAATACTTATTTTCATTCATTCGCCGAAACGCTCACGCACAAATGCCGTGCCATATCTGTTCACGCTACTTACAATGGGCTTTGACATTATGGCTCATTGATGTATAATGCACAAGCGCACAATCTTGTACACATATATATTACGTATATGTGTATACGGTAAAAAAAGGGATGTGTGCATACTCATGCTCGCGTCGTCGTGATATCTCAACCTGATTGGCATTACTGGAAGCGAGCATATACATACTGGACTGTCATTATTCGCATTATTGCTTATGTTTTCGTACTTTCTTCTGTTTTTTTTTAATTTTTCATTGTTTTCTTGATGCAACAATCCCTCTAGATAATAATCGTCAAAATTCATTTCTGTCTACGCTACTCCGATATTTATTTTCTAACAAGAGAAAGGACAAGGTGATCATTAGATTCGCTTTAAAGAATTCGAATCTCTTTTGCTTCTTGCAATAGCATACATTTTCCGCATGATATCTCGTTATAAAAAATGTTCGATATTTTAATATCGAAGCGTTACATTTGCATACTTCGAAAAAGCACGCTACTTGGCTGAAAAAAGTTCTTTTTTGCGTTAATTGGCGGGAAAATTAATTTATGGACGAAAGTCTACGTCTTAGTTGCGTAGAATACTTTTATCGCGTTTTAGTATTCACGTTCGAAATCGCGATGATTTTTAGCAGAGCTTTCATAATCGCTTTCGCCGCTTATCGTTTCTATACTTCTTAAATCTATGATTCGCATTTTACGCAATTATTTCTTACAAGATGCAGTTACGTGTAATATAAGCTCATTTTGTCTACTTTGCATTGCTCTTTTCTTTAATGGATTTCAATAAAATCAAATTTTGTTGCGACCGAGAGTAAATTTAAAAAAAATATATATTTGCAAGACAAAAATTTCTGTTTATATTGCAAATTTCGTTATAATATAATTTATAATTTCGCGTTAATACGAGAATCGAAACTTATAACCGCAGCCGAAAAATCGGATACACCTCCTTCCTATGATATTCTCCGAGTGTATCCCGTTGGCATGGACGAAATAATAATATCACAAAGTTTCTTTCTATGCCAATGAGGTCGCAGTATTTGCATTTGGAAAATCTCGTTTCTCTCCTGTTCCTTCCGATCCGCCTCTTTTTCCCTGGGCTAATTCTTTGTGCTTTTGGTTTTGTGGTGTCCTTTGGTACCTGACTACGCAAACTACTGCAACTGCAACGCAACTGCGACAACTATCATCGACGACCACGACAACCAACAGCGTGAGGCCGCCTGCACACAATCCGTACTATGTCACAAGCCATACGGCCGTCCAGGCTGCGGTGGCGGCTGTGATGCCACCAGGCCCAGCCGCGAGCACGGCGGGCCCGTTCGTAGACATAGTCGGCCATCAGGCCCATCAACAAGCCCAGTCAGCGATTGCCGTTCCAGTAATGCCACCAGGAGCCGGCCGTAGCTTACACTATCACACACACGCAGCGACACACGCACTGCCACACCAACAGGCACCGCTCACCTATCCCAATTGGGTCCCGTTCTCCCATTTTAACTGAGACAAGGATCCCGTTTGTAAAAAATTTGAACGAGCAAAAGCATCTCGTTTCTCCGCCCGTCTTTCTAACCGTCGGAACTAATGCTTGGCATTGGAACGCCTGACGTTGAATATCAAAAGACTGCATTCTATATCGCTATGATTTTACATTACATTACTTTTCACGATCGCGCTAGTCGTAGGGAAATTGTAGGCGCTCTTCCAGCGAAATAGTAGAAGCGTGTAATCCAAGTTGTCAGACGGAATAGTAAATGTAACGAATATAGGTACGCGCAGCATCGATAGGAACATTATTGGCGTGCTATAGACTATATGTACAAGAGTAGTCGCAAAGAAATCTCTTATATAGTGTTTTATTATAAATTATCGACAAATGCGAGAATAGATGACGTAGATATGTATTAGAAAATATAGAGAATTTCTATGTTGCATAACTGAGCAATAAATTTTGCCATATAAAGAGTTAGAGTATATATTATCAATTTATATATATATATATATATATATATATATATATATATATATAAATTGAAACGAGATATATAAATTGAACGTTTAAAAATTCCAAATTTTATAGAAGATAAATTCAACCATCGAATAGCAATACACATACACGATTCAAAGCTTAGAGAATAAAAAACGATTCAACATGGTGTGCATGAAAGCAAATAGTCTTTCAGATATTTTCTCATTAGTGATAAATTTTATGAATATATAAAAAGAAAAAAGACGAAGAAAGTATATACGTATACATGTATACAAATTTATTAAGAGTCTCAGAATTAATATCATTCTTCTTTTTCAAGATTGCGAATTCTTTGATCAATTCATTCGATAAGACAAATTTTGATACGAAAAAAATAATTTGTAAATTGCTCAAAAAAATGTAGTAATAAAAAAATAGTTTCTCTGATATTCTATATATTAATTTACATAAAATTCATATAAATATTTATCGTATAATATTTATTAAAGCCATCGATTTTATCTTAGTAAAAGCCGCAAAGATTTATTAGCAATTATGTACAATACGCGCGCGTGCAACCAGTTGACCATATTAGAATAGTATTTTTATACGTAATGTGTGTTAAAAATAAAAAGACACGATATAATTATTCGTGTACGGTGTCGGTTCATATTTCCGCATCAATCATATATCAAATCGATCATATATAATCGTAATATTAAATCTTAAAATATTTCCACAGAGAATGTGATGAAGAAGTGTCACGACACGCCATTTTAAAACAGATGATCCATTTATTAGCTTATCGATTGTTGAGAAATTCGCACTTTAAACTATTTCTCTTCATGTTTTCTACAAACTTTATACTATATATTAAAAGTTTTTAGCTTTGTGCAGATTTATCAAAGAGCCGGAGGTGAGCATTTTATTAGTCTATAGCAGGGATTAAAACGATTCGTCTAAATTTCTCTTCTTCATATGTTTTATTTGAATACTAATTACACAGAATTGTTTTTATTTTTTTTTTTTTATTTTTAGGTTCGAATATAAACTACTCTTTATTTATTGAAAACTTAAATTACTCAAAGTTGCTTATGAAAGGTAACGTGAAGAGGTATTCGCGTCAACATATATGCGCGAACGTTAGGAAGGAAATCAAACTTCAAAGAGTCAAAGCCAGATAGATGAAACTATAGCCTGCAGTAACACACATTCGGTATAATCTCCATCGCACTAACAAATGCTAACAATTGTCAGAATCAGAGAGAGGGGTGCTCCAACCCCACCCCCATCCGCCTCGTCGGCATCTTCCAACGTGCGTTTGAGAAACAGGTAAAGGAAAAAGAGAAAGAATGAAAAGCGCGGCATTCTCCTCCCACCATCCACCCACACACCGAATTCCCTTTTTGCGGATACGAGAGAGGAAAAAGAAGCGCAGAAGAACAAAGCGCAATCATTTCTGTTTCGTCCAGTGCCCTAAATAACACAAAGCTCCTTCGCCCTTTAACGTTTCGACGATTCGATTATATTGACTGTGCTTTCACGTTCTGCTCTGCTTCTTTGACGTGATAATGAAATATTGCCGCCACGTAGACAGCAGACCTCTTGCGCTTAGTAACCACTTTAGTTTGCGTTGCACTGCTTGCTTTCATACGCACCGTAATCCATTCACGTGTATAAACCTCAACCGTAAACTATGTATCAATAACGCGTTACATATGACACATTCACGTTCATCAACGATACTAGTGACAATATTAGTAATTAGCGTTATTACCGCCCTTATTATTATTGTCATCGTCATTGTATTATCACTATTATTATTATTATTATTATTATTATTATTATTATTATTATTATTATTATTATTATTTATGTTAATTTTAACACAGTTTTTGTATAGTATTATTTGTATTATATTCATGCAAATTGTTATTCTATTAACATTATTTTTATTATATTACGATACTTATTATTTAATTTTTATTTTTATTATTATTATAATTTCTATATCGAGATAAAAAAAATTGTATGACTGCATCTGTATTAATATATTCTAGCGTGTACGCAATATCTCGTGCAAGAGAAAATGTACGAAATCCTCTACGGATTAATATCATATATAATACACAATAACATATTGTTCATTTTTTTATTACTTTTATAAGTAATTCGTTTATCTTTATCATTTATAATTTATACGACATCGATATAATATACATAAAAAGTGAGCCAAGTGTACATATTTAAATAGTTTTTTATTTAAGTTAAGACGCTCGTTTCATGATTCTCCTGCTTTATATTTTCAATAATTTAAAATAAACTTAACCTACCAATTATATAATTATTTTAGAATTTTTCACAGCTATTTAAAAATCTGTAGATCCATTGTGTGAGTGTTTTGATTAATTAATTATGCATTTTCGTTCCAATAATTAATATGACGATAAACTCGTATATAAAATGTCTCTTACAAACTTTGTATATATCGAACATTTATACATATCTTTTCCCATGTATATAAAATTAGGAAGCAACACGGTCTCGTTTTACAATCGAAAAGTTAATTCATATCGACAATATCGATAATAATTTATATAAAAGTAAAATACGATTGTTTCAATTTGATCTACTTATTTGTTGATAAAAGAACGAGATCTTGTTTATGAACAGTATACTGTATTTCGATATCCCTCGAAATGGCGAAGATATACCAATAAAAAGTATCATGATAAAAAGTATAGAATACGATTTACAGATGAATAGTAATCTTCGTTATTTCATTCTTAGCTTCCATCATCAACTTGTAATGTAGTCAATAGTAAATAAACAAATTTATTCGCAAAACATACATATAAATTATGCGAATGTGAATGTATTTCCATAGTAAGAGGGTATGATCTAAAGAAGCTTGAAATCACGCGAGTCCCTTACAATCTCCCCATTTCCAGTATATATTATTTATTCATAAAAAAGAAACATTTCTTAACTTATTATTGTTAACAGGGGCACCAATCCACTGGCGCCGGACGCGGTGGACCTAACGCAATTGACTTCTGTCAGCGAATGGCTGGCTTCCATCAAGATGTCACGATACGCGGAGAGCTTCGAGCAGGCAGGCGTGACAACGTTGGAGGCTGCGGCGCGTGTCACCGTCCAGGAGCTCACGGCTCTCGGTATAACGCTCGTGGGACATCAGAAAAAGATTATGAACAGCGTGACGGCGTTACGGGCGCAGATGTCGGCCACCTCGCAGGGTTTCCTCGTGTAATAGACCGCGATATATTAGGATTACTCAAATCCTGCAAAGGGATCGTATGTAGGAATCGGTCGATCGGCATAGAACTTCACTATCTTAAGGATCTCACGAATTTCCAACCTTCTCCGAGGTGTCCCGTGAGACGAACCACGGGAGATGACGAACCATGTAACATCTAGGACTCGTGATTACCTAGTCAGAGCGAGAATGTCCTCGAGAGAATATCTGTTCGCGCGCAAGTAGATCCGGTAAAATAGTCCGATGGTTGATTGAGATGAATATTCTTGAATATCTCCAAAGTAACACGCAAACGCTGTCTCACCGAGAGATTCCAAGTACTCGTACTGCAGACATTCCACGTTAATGAGAATCGAAGAGATTCATTCATTCAGAATTCCCCTTGATAAAGTCAGGAGAAAACGAGAAAGTACGAGAATCATGCATTCGTTATGTTGCATTTAAACTACATACAACGACTTATCAAACTCGTAAATAACTCGCGTAAATAATATCTATAAGTGTCAAAGGAATTATTTATGAACGAATAATGTCATTCTCACGTTCAGATCGATCAAGACGTAAAAATCGCTCTAAAATGCATTTGGCGGGATCAATGTAACACACTTTCTTATATGAATAATAAGCGCCGATTTAATCTTTCGTTTCTTAGGCCATTTTCATAATCAATGTATCTAAAGATTAGACTGACAATGGAGATGCACGAATCATCTCTGTAATTACTGCCACAAATCTCATGTTACATCTTTCAATGTACGAACAGCCTTTTACTTTAAAATGCCTGTGTAAATCGAATTGTATATGCTGTATATTTTTCTTCGAAGATTCATTGAAATTTGCAGCCAAATTATTTTTTATTCGTCGCGTTTGCATTTTGTATTGAACGAAAGTATTATAATACGTATTATATATATATCTGCGATATATAAAACATTGAACGGCGAGCTATATGTCGGCCTAAATGTCGTTTGAACACGTCTGCTCCTGGGCCTCGCTTTTTCTAAGTATATTAAAATTATGTCTCTCTTTACATAACAATCGATATAGTAATATGCCTGAAAAGAAACAACGCGACGATTTAGAAAAGTAGAGAACCGTATCATGAACTGTACCAAAAACTGTAATAGATTTTCTGAGATTCATTATTTCGTGTAGCGAATGTAGCAAATACATTATTCTACGTCGCCTCGACAATGTACACGATTGAGAGACCAAGGACGATGAGAATGAATGTTTACAAGACGTCTTTTATTAACTATAACTTTACGATGACGATAAATTACGTTTCGCTTTCGCGTCATCTATATAAGAACGTCGTATCACGCGGCCTATATGGGACTATATCTTTCGATTATAAGAAAAAACGACAAAACGAACAAGGCGGAACATGTGCCAACGCGAGTGTGCAAAAGTTATTTTAGCGCGAGACACGACGTAAACGAGAGGATGCGTGAATGTATACGAGTTGTGTGTATGAAATTGGGAGAATCTGCAACCCGCTCTTCGCGCTATATTAGTATGTACACGAGCGTGCAATCACGAGAAATTATTCTATATATACGTATAAAGATATCTATTGTACTATAAATATGCGAGACATGTCGACTAGGAAGGACGAACAAAGAAGGAATCTCTATCGATAAGAGAAATTGCCTAACGTGAAACCACGAGAAAAATCTATTCTCGCTTCGAAAGATAAAGAGCACGAAACGTGAGAGAGTGGATAAACAGTTTCGAACGCGCTTCCCACTATAGCAAGCAATGCGTCAACATATCAACATTATTCGGAATGCAAAGCGAGCAAAGCAGAAAGGGATTTGCGTGCACAAACTTATCGTTGCTCCGAAATCTCGAGTCGACACGACTTCTCGTCATTCTTCGCTAGATTCCAGCGAATGACGAAAGAGAAAAATTTAAAAAGAGAGACATGTAAAAAGAAGAACATGAGCGCGTAAAGCGGGTATGAAACAAAATGTGTGGACAAAATACACGCGATACGTATATGCGAGCGACTCTGCGCTCGATAAAAGCATCGAAGCTCGCCGACGAGATGATCTTCATCGAACCATTCATTTTTTCACTTTCAGTCCGATCGAGGAGTTTCCTCATACAAAGCAACGTCCATTCCAATATACAAGTATCCGCATAATAGGAATTTTTTTTTTTTTCTTAGAGAACAAAAGAGAGAAAGGCAAAGAGAGAAACAGGAGCTTGCTTCATCGTATTTTGTTATCTAATCGTAAAGATTCTTACTCGAACCGATATGTACCCGAGGTATATACGTTATCGGCTATTTGTTTTTAAAGAGACCAACAGAAAGAAATATATATACATATACAGAAATATCACGCATGAGATTAAAACAGCTTCCAAGTGAGTTCGGCAAGCCACGAAAAAATTCTTTGTATTCTTTAATTTAATGATTTAACGTGTTTAATAATGTATAATCGACGATATCGAAATGATGAATAAAAGCGGAAGGCGCGCTTCAATAGGCGAGATTTCACGCTCGATCAAAGATACAAAGCGGACAACGACAAAGTGAATGACGTAGCGTTTACGCAGCCAGCCAATTCTCTATCCATATTGCTCTCCCTGTCTTTAATCATAAAGAGACGAGAGTCTCTCCTGCGAAACGCGCCGAATTAAAATCGTCTGATTTCGCTCCTGTCTGGAAGTACGATCCAACGATGCTTCGACCGTTCCCTCGTAAATAAAATATTGCTCGAGGTTAAATTAATACTCGGAGCGTTAAAAAAAATATCGAGATACGTCCTGGTGTCTTTCGGTTCGCCATGCTACCTTCCGCGTTCGTTTCGCAAAAAAAGAGAAAGAGAAACGGAAAACGGAAGACCGCAAGCAAGACGAGAGCAAAATCTCCCTTAGGAAAAACAAAAAAAAAAGCGAGAGAGAAAGAGTAAACTACTAAAAATGGCGACGATTAAGAAGCAATAAGTGAATACACGCAAATGCAGATTTTTATATAGAGAATGTTAACAAATTTCAGATGATATTAATTATAGCGCTATCTTCCTAAATGTTCGTATTAAAGATTAAACGAAAAAGTACGATAAAACGTAAGAGAGATTGCGTGGAGTCTCGACCGAAAAAGAATGGAGAAGACAAGAGGTCGCACGCGAGTCGAATTCGCGCCGCGATCGATTGTAATAACGTTCGGTCGAGACCCCACGGACGAGAGAAAGAGATTCTTAAGAATTTTCAAACTGTAACTATATCTGTGTTTTAGCGATGAATCTGCGAGTGCGACCTGAAGTTTTGAGGATGTTGTTAATTTCGACAAATCGATATTTAGATTTCATAGAGCTCTATCAATATCACACATATACACACACGGCCACGTGTAGGCGCAAGAGAAAAAAAAATATGCGAAACTGAGGATCAATCTATAGCGAAAGTATCTCATGTACGACTTCTCAGATTTTTTTTTAGTTCGCCGACTTTTCCCCGAAAATCTTAGATTCCTACCCTTATATAGATTAAATTTTTTTTACATAAAAAAATACGCGTTACACTTTCAAAGCTTTCGATCGTACTTCATATGTCACGTATATTTTGGTATATATCATGGTTATCTCGTATACACGTAAAGCGCTTTATTAAAAAAAAGTGTGTGAAACGAGATCGAATATAAAGCTTGAGAAATCAAAATTGCTTCAATGTGCACCCTTGTTGCGATGAATTTTTGTTTGTTCTTTTATTTTTCTACTTTTTATTTTAATCTTCTGATAGAAAAAGAGAGAGAGAGAAAGAGGAAACGAAAACGAGATAAGTAACTGAAAGAAAAAATCCTCAAATCGTCTCTCGCGTTTTGCTTAACTCTTTAATCGACTTTAATTAAATTGTATTACTATTTATTAAAAAAAAAGAAACTTATTTATTGTTTAGAGATCTGACTAAATTGAAAAACGTTTTAATTATATCGTAAATTATCTATTATTATTTAGCGACGAGAGATGATAGCCAGAATGATGCGATTTTTCTCTACTGTACGGATTTTCGAGAAAACTCTGTCGTGTAAAAAGGAAGAATTTAAGCTACGTCTACAGTGATAAATACGATCATCGTATCGAATCTGTGTACATGCAGCTATTATATTATATTATATTTAGTTAAGCGTTTTTTTTTTAAATAAATGATTTACGCGAGCGCATTGTTTTTTATCCTTATTTTCTACAAATCTGTTTACAGCGAACTCTGTCAAAGTACCTGCTTCGAAAAAAAACGAAAACGATAAAATCTGCGAAAAAAGCAAAGCACATTAAAAACAGGTACCGTCCCATATATTAAACATAACTCAGAGAAACATGCATACATACCATATCCACACACACATGCATACAGTCATACACACGTCGCACTATCATACACACACATACAATAATTTATATACACTCGCCGAGCTGAGTTTTCATAAAAATTGGTTAAGCGAATCGCCTCCGTGTGTCTTCGATTCATTGTATAAAAGAAAATGCGAGAAAAAAAGCAAGCAAAGAGTTACTGTCGACAAATTTTGGAACATGTCTAAAACATTTTTCCTATGGTGTTGTCAAGACGATGTTGAATGTACATAAGATATAATAAATAATATACCTTATACGATGTAAAAATTGGGACAGAGACTTGTTTCATCACCTTTTTACATCAAAATCATCTTAATAATTATTATTATTAATAGTTGAATAAAATATCAGAAAAAGGTAAATTTACATATCTTATAAATGAATTCTACAAGTCTTGCATTTCAGTCATGGATGCAGGCTCTCAATGATAATTAATTTGACGAAAAACTATAGTTTAATAAGAACGTAAACGAAACTTTAAAGAAAATGTAATTCGAAAAATAAGAATTTGAATTGAAATTTAAAACTGACGTTATATTTTTGATTTATTTTTATATTTAATTTATATTATATTATTTATATTATAGATAACTGCACATGAAACTGTATAAAGATTCGAGTCAACGAATTCTAATAATTTAGCCGAGATTCAAACCCTGTCCAACAGATATTTAAATCCTGCTTGTTAGCGGAGATTCGAACCCTTCTTAGCGGAGATTCTTATTTATCTCTGACAGATAATCCCCTGATATCACCATGCTTGACTACGCATGCGCGGAACATATCTCTTTGGCGAACGCTCGTTTCCCTTTCCGTTTGATTCCGAAGAAGGTTTGTGACAATTTTCTGTAATATTCCGATATCCACGCTTTGCGAATCAATCGTAATATGCATTGATATGATATGATTTCGATGCAAATCTACAATAAAAATTTAGGTGTCGCGATAAGTTATAAATTGATTTCTCTCGCTAACAAGTGATTTTTGCGTTGCAGAAGCAAGATGGTACAGCGACTAACCTATCGACGACGCTTGTCGTACAACACAAAAAGCAATAGGAGGCGTGTGTAAGTATGCTGTTACAAATAATATTACCTTTGACAATGTTCTCTTTTTCATTAATTTTCGTTCGCGATAAAATTGACATTAATAATTCGTGTTATTCGCCAAACATTTTTGGGAGTTTTGAGGTTATGTTTTGGACGTTTGCTTAAATTCGCACAAGTTTCAAGCATAACGGACAGTGAAAATAATCGTTAAACACGAATAAACATAAATAAGTTATTTTTATTAATATTGTATATATTTTTGATTATCATTATTGCAAATAGTTAGCCTATTCTCTAAAAAATATCTAGAATTGTCGCATTGAAATAAATTTTCTTTATAAGATTTATTTGAGTATTATTTTTCATATTATTCTTTAAGATTAATTTGATTTATGTTGAAATGTCGAATAGTGTACGTACGCCAGGTGGCAAGTTAGTCTACCAATATCTTAAGAAACCTAAGAAGATTCCAAGATGTGGACAATGTAAGGATAAACTCAGAGGTATTCAACCTGCTAGGCCAATGGAACGGTCACGTATGTGTAGACGTAAGAAGACTGTCAAACGTGTATACGGAGGTGTTCTTTGTCACAAATGTGTAAAAGAAAGGTATAAAAATAGTTAAACTTTAAATAATCTATATTGAAAAAATAGTTAAACTTTAAATAATCTATAAAAATAGTTAAACTTTAAATAATCTATATTGAAAAAACCAATTTATTGTTTCTAAAGGAAAATTAGTCATTTATTAATTATGCAATCAATTAATTTTGTTTTTACATTAAATTTCATGCTTTTTTGAGCTTACACAAAAATGTAATTTTCAGGATTGTACGTGCATTCTTGATCGAAGAACAGAAAATTGTCTACAAGGTTATGAAGGCGCAACAGGCTTCAGCAAAAACGAAAAAAGTGGAGAAGTAAAATTCCGTGCTTTTTATTAATTAAATAAAATAAATAATAAATTTAAAAAAATTTAACTATTGCTCATATTATGTATGAGCCCCATTTATTGTACCAACACCACATTTGTGAACTATATTATACACTATATATTCACATGATAAAATCTTTTTTATAATAATTAAAAATTATATAAATATATAAAAAAAAATTTTGCAACCTAATTGCAAATCTATGCGTTTATATACGAACGTGCGTGCATATGTTTTCATATGTACAGTGAAATATTAGATGCATATAGCAGAGAGAAAAAAAAATATATATGGTTATTTATACATAATATATACTCATTTTTTGCTCAAGTTTAATTAAATTTAATATATATTCAATTACTACTTGATAATTGTTATCTCTGCTGAATATATATATATATATATATCATTATATCGAATGATGTATCTTTCATAATGCTATCATTTTTTAACTTTATATGCACTTTTTCTTAATTTAATATAAAATATTTTTACAATTTTAATTTAATTAAGCATCATTATAGTAGAAAAAGTTTATTGCTAGGCACAATAAAGTTTAACATGATGCAAATACGCATAAATAGAAATATACGGATACGAAACAAACATGCATCTATCTCGTATGTGCGTACGTGGCTGCATTTGACAGGCGCACGAGTCAACAGTATTCTATTCCTTGTAAAATTATTGATTATTGATTAAATTATTGATTAAATTAAAAATTATTGAGTAAAGAAAAAGGGCATATTTCACAATTCTGTGGTTTGAATGTGAAATCAAATGCTTTGCTTAAACTATCGAACAAGTAGTTTTTACGTAATAAAATAAAAGATTTGAATATACATAATTTTATATATATATATATATATATATATATATATATATATATAATTATTTGCTAAAAAATATATTATTAAATATTTATTAATATTTAATAATATATATTAATATATTATAAATATTTAAATATGTTCTCATATTTCAATTTAATATTTTTTTATCAAAATGTTAAATATTACAGATTTTAGAAGCAGCTAAATATGACAGTTTTTTTATTGCCTCATAAATTAAAAAAAGGATTGACATTAAAATTGCATTCATAGTTTCAGAGATATTCAATACAACATGGAAGATTCGAGTATGCTCGTCGAATGCGTATGACTATATATTTACAAAAATGTCGATGGCTTTGGGGCAATCAGTCTTATAATAACGAAGGACAGATATTGTGCTGCCCAAAAGAGGGCTGCGCGCAAAAACCTGTCTCATAGGGATGTCCATTGCGAGTCGCTAGCCTCGAAGCGTCTAACAAGTGCCTTATTTGTTGAGTACACCTTGATATCTACTACGTATGTACTTATATGTACTCGAACCGCGCTATAGTTTCCACGATGGCGCAGAAACGCCGTGTCGGAGAACGGTGAGAGCTATAAAGGGGCTTGTCACCTGAGAATGCGGACAGCTCGGCGAGGCTTGGCATTAAATACCCGCGTTCCTTGTGCTACACCATGCCTATCGTTTACAGCGACCGCTGTTCCTGAAAAATCTGGCTAAGAAAACCCACCAGATTTTTGTTTAGCATTAACTCGTTTACAGGTAAAAAACAAATTTTGTCTTAAATGAACATATTATTTGTATTCTCGAATGTTTATTTCGTGTGTCTCACTCTTCTGCCATTTGATTTTTAATGACAAATTTTTTACGCATGAAAAATCTCACAATCATTCTGCAGTTAATTTTAAATAAATTTAATAGAATTTTCATATTTAATATAGA